TTTCCCTACCTCTCTTCTCTGAACCAAGCTGTATTTTCATGCTTATTGCCTATGCCTGTCCTTCATTTTTCTTCAATGATTTACACCCCATTCTCTGTCAAAATCTTTGTTTTTCAGTATCTTATGCCATGAAGATGTCCTTGATTTTCCTCAGAACTATTCATAATTCTCTTTAAGATTCCCTAATTTATTACTTGAATTACTAATTAATGCCTGTGTCATTCTGCTTTATATTATGGTTATGTTTTACTGATGTCTAATCTACTGGGTGGTAAAATGTTTGCGGACAAGTATGGTATATTAGTTATCTTTGTGTTTTCCCAGTTTCTAGAATAGAATAATTGCCCAATAAAAGTTTGAATAATATTAGTCACTCTCTTAAGTATCAAAACTTTACAAAACTTCAGCCATGTACAGTGGAAGTCTCTTAAAGATGTAAGTCTATCTTGCTTTCTTGAGGATTGTCATTCTGTATTAATTATTTCGCTGCATTTTAATATATTCGTGCCTTTAGGAGTTGCTGAGGTATATAGGACTGCTGGCTGCTTTCTGAAATGTCCCTATGCTGCTGTGTGTTAAATTTCATTTTATATGCTTATTTTATATCTTCAGCCTCCTCCACATTCATCCTACTTTTTGCTGCTCCCAATCTGGAACAGCCCCCTCCTTCACATCTCAATATGCCATGTGTTAGAAACCACCTACCCTGAGCTGCTACACTCATATACTTGAGTCAACCTGTACAACCCAGAAAGCCTAAGTAGTGTTTAGTCTCTTTTGATACATTGAAAACTGAGGTTTATTTAGAATGCTCACATAGCTTGTAGGTGACGGAACTGGAACTCTAATCCATGCTTCCTAAGAGTTCTTTACATTAAACTCTGATAGTTGAATTGGGTCTAAGGCAGTAGGTCCAGGTGGGTGTGCCCTCTTACAGGAAAGTTAGGAGGCTTTTTTTTTTTTTTTTTTAATTGTTGGAATGATTGAGGCTAACCATTAGCGTTTGATGGATGGGGGCCAGGGATGTTATACTTTTTTTTACAGTGTGTGGGCTATCCTGAGCAAAGAATGTCACCATGTCCTGCATGGTTTAGGAATACCCTGCCTGACATTTATGTAATATTTATCATTATCTGAACCTAGAACCTCCATTTTACATATAAATTCATGGTTTTAACAGACTAAATTTTCCGCATGCAACTGTTGATTCTAAACAGAAGATTTGTTTTCTTCACAACTTGACCAAGAGTTGTTGACAATTTTGGAAAATTGTATCACAAACAACTGCATTTGTAGCTGTTGTGTTCAGCTACCAATTACAGTACAGTTCAATTTTGTTTCAAGATTAACATATTGAAATACATGTCTTATAAATTATTTTCATTTCCCTTTTCCATTTATATTTAGGTATATGGATTCATCTGATGTTGTCTGTAGGAAGATTGTTATTAATTTCATTTCAGAGTGAACAAAGCTGAAGTTGGAAAATATTTTTTTTATGGAAGGGGACATCTGATATGGTTGAGTATTGTTGGCCTAAACTAAGAGTAACCAGCTGAGGAGGAATCTCTCATGGGAAGTCCCCAGATTTTAGTAGTGGGTGTTTCTAATCTTTGTGTATTGAGCTATGCCTTGGAGAGTTGAGATCTAGTTGTTGGCCGTTAGATAAGTGCTTCATGGTGTAAGGCAAGGCTTTAGAGAAAATGAGAGAAAAGGAAATATATTGTCTGCTGCCTAGAAGCTTTTAAGGTGTGGTCATTTGACATATGAGATCATTTCTTGTATAGAAGATAGATAATTATTTCTTTAAATACTAAACATTAATATTATTTTTACATCTACCATTAGTATTCATTTGTTGTGCTATGGAGTGCTTCCTTCGTTGTGTTCTGCAAAGACACTTTTCATTGGGTATCAACTTTAATCATGGTGGAAGGCAGCATACTTAGGGCAAAGGACATTCTGTCAGGGAACTTATTTCAACTAAAAGTAATGTGATGTTTGGCAAGTCACTCTGTTTCCTGTTAAATGAGGATAATACTGTTGTGATGATCAAATTTAAGGGGTTTTAAAACCTAAGGATAATTAGATTCTATTGAATCATTTTCTCTTCTACATCTTCACTTAGATGTTCCTAGGGAGTATGGAGAATGTGCATCTACTACATGTTAAAGGAGTTCACTTATTAGGAAAAAAAGAGAGTGGGAGAGTACCTAGGAGAGCAGGTAGTGAGAACAGAATTACAGGGCACAGAGATAGTATCTAATCTATGTAATTATTAATGAGTACGCTAATGAGACTAAATACTAGGTCACCATCCCATTTTATTGGAGGCGTATTTTTAAGTGCTTGAAAATATTTTTATTTGGGGGAAAGACTAAAATTACTAAATGAATCCACCTTTAATGGTTGTTCGGAAAATAGTGTTAGAGAGAGGATCTTAAAGAACAACTTAAAAGATGAAACCTATTCATTTTCCATCTGCTTGTCAGAAGAATATTTCTTATGTTTTGGTCAGTCAGCTTTATGGTATTATGGTTACAACAGCGGTCAAATTTGGCATCTGACATTGAAATAAAATTATAAAAAAAATATTGAAAATATATAATCAGATCGAAATAGCATAGAAAGTGTAGATTCTGAATTATTTGACTATAGCTATTAATAGAAAAAGATACTAGCTAACAGTCAATGAAGAAAGCAAAATACATCTGTTATGGATGGATCTACAGAGCACACACATATAGTAAGGAATCCACCATATCTGAGGTTCTTATACATTTGAGGGTAGTAGGTTTACTTAAAATAGTTAAGATCTAAACAGAAGAACTTTTACCCTTCAGGGTAAAAAAAAAAATGGTTTTGCATTTAGCCATGAGAATCATCTAGTTCAAGACATATTTGAAGTACTTGTACTACTCATTTAAAATAGAATAGATTAAATCATAGTTCCCTTTTTTAAAATCAAGATAGGTCTAGGATTTCAGATATTGTGCAGGTGCATAGAGGTTAGGGTATAATTTGCAGAAAGCTGAAATAGTTCCATCATGTCTAGTAAGCAGAATTTAAAAAAAGTTTATTGATGTACTTGGGTGGTAATTCAAAGCACATGGAATGAAATTCAGAAGGGTAGAAAAGCAATAGTTTATTGTCTTATATTGCCTATCTTCACTGTCCAGTTTCCTTCAGAGGTTATCTGTTACCAGGTTTATTTTTTATTGTTGTTGTTTGTTTTACCAAGTAATGTCTAGAAACAGATTCAATATATAGGTATTTAGTCTCAGATAAGGGTGAAATTTTACATTCTTTGGAACATGGTGGATTTACATAGTAAATGATTTTGTGACAGCCAGCTGTTCTAATAAAAACTGAAGAAAAAATAATTCTTGGTGGATAAGAAATGTAAATGTGGAAACTAAAGGTACTGTAAAAGTATCAAAAGAAAACATAGATGAACATAATATAATTTCGATAGTGGAAAGGCCTTTCAAAGTATGCCATAAAATCAGAAACTAAAAGGGCA